ACCACCTTTGTAGGAGGTTTGAAATGCAACCCAGTCAGATTCTTACAGATGTGCTCTGGACGCTCAAAACGTATTTCAAAGCGTCTTTTGCGTCGCTCACAACGTGACAAACAGCGGCGATGTGAAATCCAGAGTGAAACACTTAGGAACAATCCCATTTCACCCCTCGCCCCGACCACTCAGCCCTACCCCTCTGCGCGTTCTCGTCTAGGGGTAGGGTGTCCTGATTCTTGTTGAGATAGAGGGGCAGGGCGAAGTGTTGGGGCTACAGGACCCTCCAAACTGAGGTTTTTCAGAGACTCCAAACAGAGAGTTATGAGAAATAAAGGAAAACCGGTAAGATGGAGAACAAGAGACCAAAGAAACCCACAAATGTAGCTAAGTATTTTCTACGATAACCACTGTATGATCTTAGTTTAATGTTGTTTTAGTGTATTTTGGTCCTTTTCTTCATAACAAGCATAAAAAAACCCCTAATAGCATGATAATGCCTCGGTAGCTAGCTAACTTTCCCGTTCCACCTTAAATAGTCCAGCAGTTCTGATGCCTGAAGCGGCAGAATGTAACTGCTGCTCCATTTAAGGTGGAACTGAAAAATTCGAACAAGAAGCTGGTGAATATCTGACTTCAGCTTCATATCACTGAAGAATTAGGGGTGGGTGATAACAAATAATTGCCCCCCTCTTTGAAGGCATATGATGCCCTAAATGTAACTAAAGCCCAGCAGTGAGGAGCTGAACTTTACCCTCCTCTGCTGTCACTGCAGACTGGCAGCGTCGCCTACAGAGCAGCGCTAGTAGCTGTTAATAAAGTAATGCTCTTTTTATTTGAGGGTCCCATTTCATAGGGCAAGATCCACTACCCCTAGTAACTCAGTTCCAAGAGATTAGGGTGACACTCGAAAACAAGGGGTAGGGGTAAAAGAAGAAATGGGATTGGGCCTTAGTCTTCCCCTCTTCCTGCCCTCTACCTACACTCACTGGCCATTTTATCAGAAACACTGGTCCCACTTTATTTGGATAGTCCACTATAGATTATCTACAGATGTTCAAATCATTCATAAACTATCTGTTGATTTCAAACAGTGGTGGGGTTAGGGTTAGGATTTGGACCAGGCTGGGTTTAGGTTTTGGGTTAAGGTGAAGGTTAGGGTTAAGATTTAGAGCCTGGTTTAGACTTAAAGCCAATTATGGTCAATTTAGTAGATATTAGTAGATATTTTACTTGAAATTAAATTAAGTATCTACAAATCATCTAAAGTGGACTATCCAAATAAAGTGTCACCCAAACACCTACCATGCAGGTACACTCCCAATTACTGACTGTAGCCCATCAGGTATTCAGATTTAATACGCTCTCAAATTAAAAAGGTGTGAATCTCTCTGTACTATTTCCCATCATCAACATTCCATATAAACTCAGAAGACTCGTGTAGGTTCACTGGTGGTTCTGGATGGTAAATAAAATGTCTATATTTGTGCTGTAGTCATGGCGACCCCTGGTTCCCATCACCACCACTGTAAAGACATCTGAACCATTTCACACCAAAACACTCTGAGTCACTCTGATTACATCTCAACCACTGAATTATGGAGAAAGTATTATAGTGAAAATATAGTGAATAACGAGCTCCTAACAGCAGCTCTGAACAGGATCTCAATGACAACGACAGTGTAAAACTCTGAGGTTTCCTCCTCGGCTGGGTCCTTGTTGTTGTTGTTGGAGACGGAGGCGTTCCCACGGCAGCGGCGGCAGAGGCATGTAGCTCTCCTCGCTCTGCGCCTGTGCGGCGGTCTGAGTGGAGCAGGTGGGTGATGTAAACGAGCTGTCTCGGCTGTATACACAGTAAGATAAACACCTGTGCATGTGGATAAACAGCGTCGTGGTCATCTGGTCCTGTTCTTCTCCTGTTTGTCTGCTCCAGTCAAGGTTGCCAGGTCCAGCTGAAGGCCTCTTGCCCTAAGCCCCGCCCTCTGTGGAGCTGATACTTGAAGTGTCTTCAGACGTTTTGGCTGCGAGTTGCTGCAGAGCTGTGCAGTAACCCAGTCTACTCACTTCCATAAACTCCAGGATGACTCTGATGGATCTGAACGTTTCAATCTGTGGACCGAGTGCAGCATGTTCACCCCCTGCTCTCATTAGAGCGCCTGATTTATTAACCGGTTCTAGATAACTGTACTGTACAGACACGCTTCTATTGAAGCGTTCACTTACATTTTTTAAACATCATTTTTATGCATCAAATCAATACAGTGATACAATTCACCGTTAGAAAGCTTGAAATCTATGAGGGTATGAGGCATCCTACTGACCAATCAGGAACAGCCCTCTGACCAATCAGGAACAGCCCTCTGACCAATCAGAGACATCCATCTGACCAATCAGAGACATACTTCTGACCAATCAGGAACAGCCTTCTGACCAATCAGGAACAGCCCTCTGACCAATCAGGAACAGCCCTCTGACCAATCAGAGATATCCTTCTGACCACTCAGGAACAGTCTTCTGACCAATCAGGAACAGCCCTCTGACCAATCAGGAATAGCCTTCTGACCAATTAGGAACAGCCCTCTGACCAATCAGAGACATCCTTCTGACCAATCAGGAACAGCCCTCTGATCAATCAGGAACAGCCTTCTGACCAATTAGGAACAGCCCTCTGACCAATCAGAGACATCCTTCTGACCACTCAGGAACAGCCTTCTGACCAATCAGGAACAGCCCTCTGACCAATTAGGAACAGCCCTCTGACCAATCAGAGATATCCTTCTGACCACTCAGGAACAGCCCTCTGACCAATCAGAGATATCCTTCTGACCACTCAGGAACAGCCCTCTGACCAATCAGGAACAGCCCTCTGACCAATCAGAGATATCCTTCTGACCACTCAGGAACAGCCTTCTGACCAATCAGGAACAGCCCTCTGACAAATCAGAGATATCCTTCTGACCACTCAGGAACAGCCCTCTGACCAATCAGGAACAGCCCTCTGACCAATCAGAGACATCCTTCTGACCAATCAGGAACAGCCCTCTGACCAATCAGAGACATCCATCTGACCAATCAGGAACAGCCCTCTGACCAATCAGGAACAGCCCTCTGACCAATCACAGACATCCATCTGACCAATCAGAGACATACTTCTGACCAATCAGGAACAGCCCTCTGACCAATCAGGAATAGCCCTCTGACCAATCAGGAACAGCCCTCTGACCAATCAGAGACATCCTTCTGACCAATCAGAGACATCCTTCTGACCAATCAGGAACAGCCCTCTGACCAATCAGAGACATCCATCTGATCAATCAGAGACATCCTTCTGACCAATCAGGAACAGCCCTCTGACCAATCAGGAATAGCCCTCTGACCAATCAGGAACAGCCCTCTGACCAATCACAGACATCCATCTGACCAATCAGAGACATCCTTCTGACCAATCAGGAACAGCCCTCTGACCAATCAGGAACAGCCCTCTGACCAATCAGAGACATCCATCTGACCAATCAGAGAGCATCCTTCTGACCAATCAGGAACAGCCCTCTGACCAGTCAGACATCCATCTGACCAATCAGAGACATCCTTCTGACCAATCAGGAACAGCCCTCTGACCAATCGGGAATAGCCCTCTGACCAATCAGGAACAGCCCTCTGACCAATCACAGACATCCATCTGACCAATCAGAGACATCCTTCTGTCACTACAAGTTTGTAGTGTGAGTCACATGCAGAACCTCACTACATATGAAGAACATAAATGAGTCACTGCTCTAGACAGCTATTTTAAAGTTTAAAGAACATCCACGTAATGTAAAGGTTCTATACCAATCAAGTTTCCTAGAACCGTACATCTGAGCGAAAAGGACCCGTTTATGAAGCTCTATTTCTAAGCCTGTATCTGTAACCCCGATCCGCTCCTGTCTGAGGGAACCTCTGTGCAGCTAGGTCTGTACCCCGGCGCAGTGGGTGAGGTTTAATAGGCCTGAAATATTTTATCTCTTCACTTCTGACTTTTGAAGCGCTTTTACTGCCTGACATGTAAATAAACACAGCTAAACTAGGCACAGATCTCGGGACAGGAACAGTGTGGGCGAGGAAATTGGCGCTTTGTGGCCGAAACTGGTGCCGCACCTTTTTAGCGTTTCAGTGAAAAATGTGGTGATTTTCTGTGTCAACAGCTGTTCAAAGCTGTGTTTGATGGTCATGTACTGAGTTTCTGGGCTCAGAATGAGCTGAAATGGTCACTGAAACAGTCACTACTGAAACATCTGGTAAAGTTTGGTAGAGTTATGATTGATGTGGAATGATCAGTCATTAGTTTTAATTAAGGTTTAGAGTCACTCAGAGCAAAAGGGGTTTTAGTCTAAAGTCCAAGATCAGTTAAAAGTCCCAAAACAACAAATAGAAGACTCTTATTTTGTCACTTTATCAAAGGACCTACATTCTAGTTTTGTCATGTTATTTCCTTTGTTATATATACATATATATATATATATATATATATATATATGTATATGTATATGTATGACTTAGTATTATGTCTACTGCCTCTACTGTTGTTACTGTGTTTAAAGGTTTAATTAATAAAATAATAATTAAACTAAATGAAATCATCGCTGAGCGCAGCGCTGAGTCTCTCTCTGTTGTTAAAGTCATCGACTTTTCCACCCACTGGTTGCTCGGACTTCATTTCAGGTTGCCCGTTAGGGGGCGGGGCCTGTGCGGAAGGCTTACGGTGATTGGCCCGTGGTTACTGTGGCGATTGGACGAAGGAAGCCACGTGATGTAAAACTTCTTAAACTCTCTTTCTTGAACGTTTTGAGGGGGGTTTTGACCCGGAAAGGACACGCAGCTTGGGGGTCTCAACTGTTGCCCCTCAACAAGAAAACCTGTTTCACTTTGTTTTGTGTTTCACCCCTCGCGCTCTGCATGATTTATGATTTGCATCCAGCGCGTGCCCTGCCCCCCCCCTCCCCCCGCCTCCTCGTTCCGTCCCTGTCTCCGCTCAGTATGTGAAGTATTCTCGCGGAATTGCAAGTGCGCGACACGCACGCGATAAGTTTTCGGTTGTTTGGCGGCGCGAGCGACACTGTCTGTGTGTGCGTGTGTGGAGGCGGGTATATGAGCGCGCGCGCACTCACCGCCGCCGCGCGCACCGAGCCGGACTCGTTATGTAAAAGAGCGAGCAGGAGAGCACACGGCGGCGGCGCGAGCACTCGGACTTGAGCAGGCAGGCGGTCCGCGTAAGTGGAGCTCGAGCGCGCGGGCTGACTGTGACTCGGACTCTGGGACTGAAGTTCTGCATCTACGGCACGCGGAGGTCAGCGGCGATGATGAGCCCGGCGGCGCTCGCGCTCTCCCTCGCGCTGCTGCTGCTCCGCGGCACGGAAACGCACGCGCTCACCGTTAAAGCACTGCGGTCCGGGAACACGCGGAGAGACGGTGAGTGGAGTGGAGTGGTGGAGCGCGCGCCAGGGCGAGCAGTGTGACGTGTGAATGATGAATGCGTGAATGCTTGATGAGCGCGTGCTCTCAGCTTCGGTTCAGTGTTCGTGTGTAAAACTGAACTGTGACCTGTTGCAGCGCCACGTGCTGAGGGGGCTGCAGAGCAGAGCGGGGGTCTTCAGCTCCAGCACACAGCTCGGTGATTTACCTGCTCAAACACACCTGATTCAGCTCACCTGGTACCCGCCAGGTTCAGTGGGTGTGTCTGAGCAAGGCTCTTACCAAACTGTGCTGCACACTGGGCCTCCAGGACCACAGCTGCACACCCCTGATGTAGAGCAGTCTTAGTCCACTCCATATTTTCCTCCTGCTCCAGCTCTAAACACACCTGAGCCTGAGCCAAGTAAACTTTACCTGCAGGGTGTTTACCTGTCCCAGGTGTGTTAAGCACTGGAGCAGAACTAAAATGTGAACTGGCTGAAGGCAGAAAGGCTCTGCACCGGCCGGTGGTTCCCTGCTCGAATACAGCTGATCCAGTTCCAGAAAGACTTGGGCTGTGTCCAGAACAGAGCACTATACTATAGTGTACCATACTGTACTATACATACTATACTAAACTACACTATACTAAACTCCACTAATCTATACTGTACTATATTGTACTAAACTATACTCTATTATACCATACTTTACTATACATACTATACTATACATGCCACATAAATGAAGGCACTTCTATACTAAACTATACTGATGAATGCACTTCTATGCTTTTTATACTAATAAACATACTTTAATACTATTCTATACTACACTAATAAAGGCTTTTCTATACTATATAAAACTACTATACTGTTTTAATAAATGCACTTCTATAAAAATAAATGAGCTTCTATACTGTACTGTACTATACTAAATTATACTAATGAATGAACTTAAATGCTATACTATACGAATTAATGCACTTCTGTCTGTACTGTACTATCTTAAAGATCTTCTATTCTGTACTATACTAATTAATGCAGTATGCTTTATTATTGAATGCACTTCTGCACTTTACTATACCAATAAATACACTTTAATGCTATTCTGTGCTACACTAATGAAGGCACTGCTGTACTATACTATACTATACTCTTCTAATGAATGCACTTCTATACTATACTAATGAATGCACTTAAATGCTCTACTGTAGTAATGAATGCACTTCTGCACTTTACTATACCAATAAATACACTTTAATGCTATTCTATACTACACTGATGAAGGCACTGCTTTACTATACTATACTATACTATACTCTTCTAATGAATGCACTTCTATACTATACTATACTATACTATACTAATGAATGCACCTAAATGTAGTATGAATGCACTTCTGCACTATACTATACCAATAAATACACTTTAATGCTATTCTATACTACACTAATGAAGGCACTGCTGTATTATACTATACTAAACTATACTCTTCTAAAGAATGCACTTCTATACTATACTATACTAATGAATGCACCTAAATGCAGTGTGAATGCACTTCTGCACTTTACTATACCAATAAATACACGTTAATGCTATTCTATGCTACACTGATGAAGGCACTGCTGTATTATACTATACTATACTATACTCTTCTAATGAATGCACTTCTATGCTATACTAATGAATGCACTTAAATGCTATGCTATACTAATGAATGCACTTAAATGCTATGCTATACTAATGAATGCACTTCTGCACTTTACTATACCAACAAATACACTTTAATGCTATTCTATACTACACTAATGAAGGCACTGCTGTACTATACTATACTAAACTATACTCATCTAATGAATGCACTTCTATACTATACTATACTAATGAATGCACTTAAATGCTCTATTGTAGTAATGAATGCACTTCTGCACTATACTATACCAATAAATACACTTTAATGCTATTCTGTACTACACTAATGAAGGCACTGCTGTATTATACTATACTAAACTATACTCATCTAATGAATGCACTTCTATACTATACTATACTAATGAATGCACTTAAATGCTCTATTGTAGTAATGAATGCACTTCTGCACTTTACTATACCAACAAATACACTTTAATGCTATTCTATACTACACTGATGAAGGCACTGCTGTACTATACTATACTAAACTATACTCTTCTAATGAATGCACTTCTATACTATACTATACTAATGAATGCACTTAAATGCTCTACTGTAGTAATGAATGTACTTCTATGCTGTGCTTTACAAATTAATGTGCTTCTGTACTATACTAATGATTGCATTTCAGTGCTAAACTACATAAATAAATACACTTCCATGCTATACTTTACTAACAAATACTTTTTTGTATACAATTCTATACTAATGAGTGCACTTCAATGACATACCACCCCCCCCCCAACCCCCCAGTTACAAAGTTTATGTTTTCATTCGTAGCACAGATGTGGAAGTGGCTTGTGCAAAAATATTAATCTAATCTCGCTCAAGTATTTAAAAAATTGTTTAGCCAAAAGTGTCAGGTTGCCCCCCCCCACACCATTCCCTGCTCCCCAACTCGGAGTCATGTGTTCATCTATTGGCTTTGACTGAGGATGAATATAAACCCTGTAGATGTCGGTGAGAGAGCGAGAGAGAGCAAGAGAGAGCGAGAGAGAGAGAGCTGTCACATTCTGAAGTGAGCTCATGTCAGCATTTCTCTGGACCGTGTTTGGGCAAGTTCCTGCTCTGATCCTCTGCTCTGGTTCTATCACGCTGCAGCACAGTTTCCTGCTGCTGGAGACAATCGCTCTGTTGGAAATGTGGAATAGTTCCCTAATGACCGTTCAACAGCTGAAAACGGCTGATTATTTCTATAGTCTACTCATCTGTCTGCTCATATTTAAATGACTCACTAATCGAACTGCGCTGCCTTCCTTTGGTTCCTCTCTCTTCACCAGCGGCATCAGTTAAACAACTTCTTTATGCTGGAAGAAAACAATAGAAGCCATATCGCCTGTGCGCATAATAATGAACAAAATATTAAATTCAGTACAGTACAGTACATACTGATACAGGTACAGATTTCCCTGAGTGTGTTATACCTCTGCTGATTTACCTGAGTGCAGTGATTAACCTGTGCTGATTTACTTGTTTGTTGTGTTTTTTACCTGTGTTACTTTATGTCAGTGTATTTTACCTGTGCTAATTTACGTCCATTTATTTTACCTGTGCTTATTTACATCCGTGTATTTCACCTGTGCTAATTTACTTCTGCGTATTTTACCTGTGCTAAATTGCCTGACTTTAGTATTTGTGCTTATGTTCCTGAACTTGTGTTACCATTTGTGTTGATTTTTTGGAGTGCTGTTGTTTACCTGTGCTGATTTATCCGAATTTAGTATTTTATCTGTTCTAATTTGCTTCAGTGTTTTACCTGTGCAGATTTACCTGAGTGCAGTATTTGACACCTGCAGATTTACCTGAGTGCAGTATTTGACCTCTGCAGATTTACCTGAGTGCAGTATTTGACACCTGCAGATTTACCTGAGTGCAGTACTTGACCTCTGCAGATTTACCTGAGTGCAGTATTTGACACCTGCAGATTTACCTGAGTGCAGTATTTGACCTCTGCAGATTTACCTGAGTGCAGTACTTGACCTCTGCAGATTGACCTGAGTGCAGTATTTGACCTCTGCAGATTTACCTGAGTGCAGTATTTGACCTCTGCAGATTTACCGGAGTGCAGTACTTGACCTCTGCAGATTTACCGGAGTGCAGTACTTGACCTCTGCAGATTTACCTGAGTGCAGTATTTGACCTCTGCAGATTTACCTGAGTGCAGTATTTGACCTCTGCAGATTTACCGGAGTGCAGTACTTGACCTCTGCAGATTTACCGGAGTGCAGTACTTGACCTCTGCAGATTTACCGGAGTGCAGTATTTGACCTCTGCAGATGTACCGGAGTGCAGTATCTTAGCTGTGCAGATTTACCCGAGTGCAGTGTTTTAGCTGTGCAGATGTACCGGAGTGCAGTATCTTAGCTGTGCAGATTTACCTGAGTGCAGTGTTTTACCTGTGCAGATTTAACTGTGTGCAGTGTTTTACCTGTGCAGATGTACCTGAGTGCAGTATTTGACCTCTGCAGATTTACCTGAGTGCAGTGTTTTAGCTGTGCAGATTTAACTGTGTGCAGTATATTAGCTGTGCAGATTTACCGGAGTGCAGTATCTTAGCTGTGCAGATTTACTGGAGTGCAGTGTTTTACCTGTGCAGATTTAACTGTGTGCAGTGTTTTACCTGTGTAGATTTTCCCGGAGTGCAGTATTTTACCTGTGTGGATTTTCCCGGAGTGCAGTATTTTACCTGTGCAGATTTTGCTGTGTGCAGTGTTTTACCTGTGCAGATTTTGCTGTGTGCAGTGTTTTACCTGTGCTGTTTTGTTAGTGCAAAGATTAAAGAATCAATGCAGAATGACAATAAACAGAATCACTATTCAGTGATTAATGGCAGTTTTGGTACAGCTGTGGTTTAAAGTGGAGGTGAGAGTCCATCAAGTGTGGACAGTAAAGTGGTCATGCGTGGCTCTGCTAACGCAGCAGGACAGCTCCACTAACTAATCCTGACCGACATGTCTGTGTGTGTGTGTGTGTGTGTGTGCCTTTTGCTGAGTATGAGGATGTCAGTGTAACTGACAGGTGACTGACCAGCGCCCTTGTTTGTGCCCTGTAGTTTTAGTGTTGACTCGTCAGTTGTAGTGGTAGGTAGTTGTAGGCATGTGCACAGGTACTCAATTACTCAGTTAACGGTTCTTAAAATTTGTCAGAGAAGGTTATGAAACAACTCATTAAGTCTGAGTAAAGTCTCCAGTTTCTGAGACTTCTGAGAAGTCCAAGTCGAGTCTGTGAGGTGAGAGTCTTAGTCTAGTCTCAAGTTTCTGAGGTAAGTTCAAGTCAAATCTTGAGGCTTCAAGGTACAAATCAGAGTCGAGTCTCTGAGATGTG